AATATACGATTTTCTAAGAATTTTTATTTATGAATTTTTGATTTAATATGAATTTTTATTTTATTCACGAATTTAAATCAAATAAGTATACTTTAAATTCACGAGAAAATTGTCGCTAACTAATACCGCGCTTCAACAATCCCTGCAAAGAGTAAAGTATATATACCCAGTTCTAGTGGGATTGACAGAAAAGTCAATTGATAAGTCATTGAATAAAATGGAATTATTTTACTAAGTATTTTACATGTATTTTACACCTTACACTAATTCAAACAAGGCTCACTATAAATGTTAATTATGTTCCGCTACGCTTTTTGCACAACACATCGCGAAAATAATTTCCAATGTAATTGAATATATGTAATAATTTTTGTTGAATAAGGCCTTCAAAAGAAAAAAAATGCCGGATATAAAATATAAGGAACACAATTTGTGTGTTAGATTTCTTCGAACTTCATTCAGTAGGTTTTGCGTAAAAATGTAACACAAGAACGTCCAACCCTGGTCAATTTATAGGTATGGGAAATTATATAACGCATTATATAAAAAAAAAAATGAAAACATAAAAATTAGGTAATACAAAAAAAACACGAGATTTTGATTCGATCTTGGATTCTATATACGATTGTTAGATGTCTCGACATTAGACCACTCCTATCGCTCATAAATTCATTGAAAACACTATAATATACGTAAGTACAAGTTAATACATCGAAACATTAACTTTCAAACAATATAAATTACTAAATCAACGTTATTATATAGTAAAATAGTCACTTTATTTAAAAAAAAAAAAATTGATATTGGTTAATATTTTATACTACAAGATTGAAATCGTATTTTTACTAGAAAATATAATTAACAGTACAGTCAACAGCATTCAGGCCATACAGAAATGTGAAATTTCTCCATTTGATTTTAAATTTTAACGTATTGACAATGTAGTACAAAATCTCTCGGGGAATCACAAGGGAAATCTGTCAGTTTTGTGTGAAAATATCAAACATTCACATGAGTTTCATATTCCACAACATTAGTAGTAGGAAATATTTATCTTTTGTCACATTTTTATGTTTATAAATTTTATAATACTAGACTTTTAAAAATATTAAATAAAATATAATTACAGAAATAAGATAGAATAAAATAATATCAGAAAATAATTCATTTATTCATCAATTTATTTTAATAAATAACATAATATATCTATAAGAATAATGGGAAGCAAAATTGAAATTGCAGATGATATAAAAAAATAATAGAAAAAAATAGTATAAAAAAAATAGTAAAAAAAACTTCCTTGATTGGATTCGAACACGAATATGTTTTTTTATTGCCATCCTGAACTATTTCATCAGTATCGGGGCTTTTGTATGAAAATGTCAGTCTGACTTTCGCCTACGTCATACTAAAGAAATATTTATTTTCACATTTTATACTGTTTAATAATTAAATAAAATAAATAAATGTTGCTTTTTAAAATTATGGCAGAAAAAAAAATAGAATAAAATAATAAAAAAACCAACTTAAAAAAATACGAGCTCTAGTGGGATTAGAACTTATAACTTCGAGACACTCGGGTCCCTTCCCCAGTATATTACACCAAATATATCGTTACAATAAGAGCGAAATTAAAATACATATTTAAAAGTGTTTTTTTTTTACAATTTTAGCGATCTCGGTACGTCAAAACGCTGCACAAAGCAACATAGGTCCATCTAGCAACACGCCTCAGCGTGAACTAAGTTAGTGTGCGTTACTCTATAGCCTTCCCTGTCAATTGCAGTAGGAGTGAGAGAAATGTCAATACTTTGAAGTTGCTTGAAAAAAATGACCATATGTGCCATATTACAAAATAAATTATATTTATTATTATAATAACATTATCAAAAATTGGGATTAACCAACTTTCATATCAATCTTTTATACATATTTGTACTCAATATCATTACTCTAATGTATCACATAATTGAGAAATGTGCCTTTCGCAATATTTTTAGATGCTACTTTGGAATTATTTTCTATCGAGTGAAGTTAATACAATCATGTTTCGGTTTCAACCACAAGATCAGAAATACGATCAAGTATAAACACAAATTTTTGGATTGCCATAGGTTTCCCGTGAATTAGTACAATCCAAGATCCATTTTATCGATTTGGCACTATTCAGCGTCTTAAGACTGAGCGTAAAGACAAAACAGAAAACGAGACGAAGACAGCGCATTGAACAGTGAGATAGGTGACAGAAGATGGCCTTATACTCGTATTTTAATTACTCGTAAAACTAATAGGATTGTTGTAAACGTCCCCCGTAAATATTAAAAATATTACTTAGTTTTCTTAATTACAATATAAATTTTTCCTTACGCGCCCTCCTAAGTAATGCATTTTAAATGCAAACTGCGTTTAATTTTTATTCGAATCCATTGATAATACAATTTTTATGGTTTTCATTTTTGTATACAACATATTCGAGTGCAGCGTCACCTCTTTAGTGAAAACAAGTTCCATAGTAAAGTCTCATTATGCTATTTAAAAGCGCATAGGGAGCAGTTTACAATACATTGAGCAGACGGGATCTTACGACCCTCGCGTCGGCCTCGTGGGGCAAACGGCCTTGAGTTTAGGGTTGAGACATCAGCCTTAGCCAGACATGTTTGGTATTAACTAGCCTGTACGGCTATTATTAGGCTTTTAGTTAGTGTAACTCGGAGCTGGCAGCGCCTATGGTATGAACGCAAGTTACGCAAGGCACAACATGTTAATGATAAAAATATTACACAAAGAATTGTAACTTTCAACTTTCTTTTATTATTATAAATGTTGACAATTAAAATCATTGACTGTGAAAGAAGGTAAAGTCTGAATTTTAGAGCAAAACTTCCGGAACCCAGATCTATCAGGCAATTTTATTTTATAAGATGGCAACCCTACTTGTATTACAAAGGGCGCGCTCGAGTACTCACTAACTTGTGTACAAGCTATGTTTATGAGATATTCACATGAAAATCGACCAACAACTCAATGACGTAGTAGCTATCAAATTATTCTTAGATCTCTTATATTATTTCATTTATTCTTCTTTAAGGTAAACATCAGCAGTATAGTGTTATGATTACATTATTTATCACACTACTTACATAAAAAAACCTTATCAAAGTGAATTTTCAAATAATAACAGGTTCTATCTATGAAGTTATTGAACCGCCATATCTCTTGGATGGTCTCAGATTCGTAGAAAAGTAAAGTTTTTTTACTATCTGAACTATTGTCATCATTGTTTCCGATTCCCGTAAAAAGCTCGCATATGAAATTTGGCTCGGTAAATAGACTAACAAAAACAAGGACTCTACCACTATATTATAAATACTAATATGTAAACAGTAGATACCTGTGTAGGTAACAAGATATTATTTTAATTAGCAAATAAGTCAGCAATTTAAATTGTCCCAACATCGCACAATTTCTTTATCAATGTCAGTCTATTACATAATCGGGGTCAACACCTGCTTTTGTCTTATTCAAAGAATCATATTACCGACTTATTATAATTTTATTTTACCTACACTAAAATAACAAGAGTAATAGTCATGTTCTTTTGTTTGTGTCATTAATCTAGTTTCAAATGTAATTCTAACAAAGATTTTTATTTTATAATAAATAAATATATCAAAATATTGCTTTAAACGATTACAAGTACCTAATTAATTATTTTGTATGTAGAGCTTCCTTCCTTATTATTGTTCCAAATGAACAATAAACATGAAACATTACAAAAAACATTTTCTAAAAAATAGAACCGATTTCAAAATTTAAAAAGATAATACTTATCTTAAAAGCGGTTAAATTTTTCAAGAAACATTGGAACCGGGTTGAAATTTTCTGTAGTTTATTAATTTATAATAATCGCCCGATTTCAGTATGTTTTGAAAAATTTAACCTCTTTTAAGATAAGTATTATTTATCACTCTTTTTAAATCGGTTCTTATTTTTTTAAAGTTTTTATTTCATTATTTATAGTGACACTTATAAACGTACCATATACCTATCACTAAAATAAAATATATGAGAAATTATATATTTTACATAACGAAAGTTCTAAAATTTTTATTAATTTGCACGACATGAAATTTGAAATGGGTGAACATACCTACTTGCATAAAAAGTATACATACCCGTTAAACATAGAAATATTTAGGTGATATCTGATGAAAAACATATCTTATTTTGTTAAAAAAGAAAACTACTACTTCGATTTCTATAAAATTGAAATGGGCCCACCTCGGCCCATTAAGCTGTCGAATAAAAAATAATTTTGAAAATCGATTTATAAATTGGTGAATAATCGCGTAACAAACACACAAAAAAAACATACAGAGGATTAAAAGCCTCCTCCTTTTTTGAAGTCGTTTAAAAACATAAGTAAAATATCACCAGATATTTCACAAATATTTAAAATCTATAAATACATTAAACGACGTATTTCAAACTCAGTTGTTAAACACATCGTCGATAGTGATAACTTATTTCGATACTCATTCCATAGCCCGGATAGCTCAGTCGGTAGAGCATTGGACTTTTAATCCAAGGGTCCAGGGTTCAAGTCCCTGTTCGGGCGGTCTACTTTTTTTTCACTTTTATATCTTTTTTTATTATCTTTATGTAGTTATAAACGAAACGAACCAAAAAGACGTATTATTTTATATTGTCTATCTGGCAAAATCTAAGTACTTTTACAATTTTGATTCTAATGATTTTGGCAATTGGTTTTCATAATTTTTATTATATTAACAAATAAATCAGTTGATATAAGCGAAACGTAAACGTGAGTTAAATATTATTGTAGAATACACATTCCTCGCAATAAAAAATAAGACACTGACCATGAATTTTTTGCTCATAAAAACGGCAAAATGTCGTCCGCGAATATTCCAGCTTACACAAAAACCACCTTCATCACAAAATCTATTACGCTCTCTGATTGTAATTACTTTTTTCAGACGCTCTCGCCGCCACCGCCGTCGCAGGAGCCACCCATCGTCGGTTCCCGCCATTTCTTCTTCGGCCGCCATACTTGCCAGTCGTGCTCGGCGCGAAGAGAAAAAGAAACAAGTGACTACCGAACGAAAATTTAAAACTAAATAAAAAAAAAAACGAAACTTACATTCCTACTCAACCTGTGATAATGTTAGTATTTTAGTGACGTGATTTTTTTTAAAGTAAACCTTTTTATATATTTTTCTAATGCGGATATTAGTATAAGATGTCTCGAGCATCTGCTTTCAAGACGGTATTTTAAATTTCTTTCGTTGAACTGTATCGGGGTACTGCAATGACGAAGTACAAGTTGAACAACACCGCTCGGTCCGCATCGGAGGTGACACTGACATCCTATATGACTGGCAGTATGGACAGCAGGAAGGACGAGAGGCACTACCAGATACCAGAATTGGACACCAATCAGAACGACAACGTGAATTCGGAATCTAACAGGAATTTGGATACGTCGAGAAATTGTCACATGTGCCCGCACCCCTGCGACTTTATCCACCACAGCGACAAATTCGCCGCGTCGCTGGTAAAGCAGGGCTGTGACAAGTTTGGATTGAACGAGTTGAAAGTGGAAGGTTTGGAGAAGAATGTGTGCCTCTGTGAGAAGTATAACGGTGGCTGCAAGCTTTGCCCGCGGCCGAGCCTCGCGCCGACCCTGAACCTGAGCCTCGACGGCAAGGAGTCCTGCTTGTCCTGTCACGACTCCACGTGTGCGACACATTACAACCGTAAGTTAATTTTACTAGAAATTTTAATCAAATTTTCATGCTTTTATTAATACATTTTTAACGGTATCGGTAATTATGCGAAACGAAGAACGACAAACATGTCGGATATATAGGCAGTCGTGTAAAATGTTTGCACATTCGTCTTTATGAATTTACATAATTAATAATCGTCTCGCCTTATAACATTAATTATATCTAGGTGGTTTATTATTGTAGACATCAGCATATCTTACTCACCAAGTCACTTGATAGATTTTGTAACCACATTCCGAAACTTATATAGATCTATTTCATAACTAAATAAAACTAAAATAAACTAAAAATATACGTTATCAGTCTAAATAAAATGATAGTCCATAATATTTTTGAATTAATAATAATATACAATAGACAAGAATAAAGAAAGAGTGAGTCTTATAATGTGAAATTAAAGTTATCAGTTGCAATTGAAGTTAATAAATAGGTAACTTGGTAACATAAACTTTGTTTTACAATAATCTAGATGGCAAGGCAATATAAGAAGTACATTTTTTGCGACATTGACCTAACATGTAATTATTTAAAAGTTTATTGTGTCAGTCTGTATTGTATACGACACAATAATGATCTAGTTTCATTAAAATCTATATAGAAATATTTCTAGTTGTCAGAGCAGACGCCTCTTATATCTAAGCTGCCGTGACAAGTGACTGCAGTTTTTTGCTCTATCAATTGTTCTTTTTTATTTAATTATATTGTTTTTCAACACATTTTAATATGCATTCAAGGCAAACATGATAAATGTAAGAAATTCGTTGTTTTTAATCTTATGCTATTAAAATTAAGATAGTATATTACAATATACATACCCATTACCTGGTAGTAAGCATGAATACAAGACAAACAAATGCAATCTTTATCTATATAACCCAAGATTCGAACCCTGATCGCATAGATAAAGGTAAGTGTATTGGGTAACGCTTCGTTACTTTCAGACGTGTCGCTAAGTAACCTCAAAATAGTAATAAAATCCATCTATCCCTAAATATCTTCTCCCACTCGTAACTAAGAAGCACCTTATGATTTCCTTTCATTTATTGTTCAAAACTTCCATGGCCACTTTAAAATAGTACAACTATTAACAGAAATTCTACTGTGTATGTTATTTATCCTCCAATTTCTTTAATATTTAATTTTTTATCTTTCACACTTACAAAACAAACATAATTTCAATTGTTTGTGGTTTTACAATCAGTCAGAAATGTCGATGGAAGTAACGACATTTAAGTTAGACTGACTGCAGTTATTATTTGAAGCATTCGTGATTCTTCCTTCAGTAAGCTTCCTTAGATTACTTTTGATTTGTCAATTATTTCCCTACTTTGTCATATGAATTTCAGATCATTTTTAGATATTCGATCGATTAAATCGTCAGAAACTTAACAATAGTAATATTACCCATATCATTAATAACTACGTTAAAAAATAAATACAAATGAACATGACGTTTTTGCCTTTTGCCCATGAAAGCGTTTTTATATGAGTCTAAAATTTAAGTGACAAAATCTATATGCTGCTTCATACTCCTTAGTCTCTCAACTTATGCTTTCTGACCAAACATTGCCAAATGTGGCCGTGACATAGACTGTGGTTTTAAATTAACCCTGTGGAATAAGAAGGAAAGTAGAATTGTTTGTAAGAATTTTAATCATAATGTTTTTAATGGATTTCGAACGTAAACCTGAAACGTGATTTGAAAAGACCCGAGAGAAACTCACGTAATAATTAAGAACCGTAACAAAATAAACATAGTATGCGGCATAATAAAAACACTTGTTAATTAGTAAAGAAAAGTAATTAGAGGCAATTTATTTATAACCACGTGGCATTAATTATAACTATAAAATTAGTTTCATAAACAAGTCATGCCTCTCTATATTATGAAAACAAATGACGAAACCTCTGTCCGTGGGTAAAAAAATATACTTTCTGTTTTTTTATTTGTTACACGGTAGCTGTAAATGGTAGATGTTTCATGTATGTAGTCTACTGTATTATTTTATTGTTTCCTCTGTATAAAACAATTTACAATAAAGACATGCTAAGCTTAAAAATCTAACTTTGTAAATCTGGACAAAAAAATTATAGCCAAATAGTAGAATTTGGATATGTAATGACTAGAAAGCCAGTTAAGAATCAACGAGTTTCTTAAAATCGTCATACGCACATCTAGTTAACAAGTATTATTTTTCGATTCATTTAAGTAAGTTTTATCACGATCAATTGGCGTTAGTCGTAAGCATCTAATTCACTGGAAACATATGAGTTGCCGGTGAGATTATTATATTGTTGCGTGCCTTATCAACGGTTCTATACTGTAACACGTTGCGCTGGCGCAGGGCACACGCACGTGTCTGCTGTGTTTATGATTATACCGTGCTCTGAATTATAACTGATGGAATAACGTTTTATTGCTATGGGGACAACGTATAACGGAAAATTGAAACTAAGACGATTTGGAAACGACACACTAAATTTTAATAAAAATAATATTCTTAATTCTCTAGTATTATATGCAGTGGTCGGAATTAGGTAGAGTTATTCATGTACTTACACTGATTTCATATAGCGAAAGAATAAAGTGGATATGCCTCAAATCCCGAGATTAATTTTAAAGAGCAGATTTTTTTTTTTAAATAAAAAGTTATTTACTTTTACACAATTTTAACTACTGCACGCACGACGTTGCCAAACTTACATCAATGACATCGGATGTCCAAAGTTGCAAAATACCAATTCGTATTGTAAATTAATGTAAACTAATAAAAATTTTATGTTAATTATCTTTGTCTATCTCTGACGTTGTTTTTATTATTTAATTGTAAGATTGTTGGCCACACGGGATTGTCCATTAGAAATCCCGGGAAGGTCCACATTAATATCAACATTTCGATGCAAGTACATAAATAACTCTACCTAATTCCGACCTCTGATTATATGGTAATAAGTTTTAAATGATATTCTGAGAGTATTTACTGGGTATTGATAAATTAACAATGATTGAAGCGTTTTTAATTGTTACATACAGACCAAGATATAAATATAAAATAGGACCAAGATGATCCTTGCGGTACTACAGCACCGAATGTAACTATTAAATTATACGTTTTTCAAAAATTTTCTTATGAAATTGACAAATATATAATAATCTTTTAAAGTGAAACTTAACTCATACTTATTTATAAGTAAAAAATTCCTAAAATTAGTGACTAATAGTGTACTTTTTTATCATCTAAATTACACAATAAAATAAACTGCTTAAAAAATTAAATTTACATTATCATAACTCTCGATCTCTCAATAAGATTTACATCGATACGCGAATTTTTATTTTATGTTAATGTTTGTTTTAAAATTTGACATCCACCTACGCTTGAAGTTGAATAAATAATTTTTAGACTTTAGCCTCTTAAATTTCTAATCAAACAATATATTTGGATACGCCACTATTGACTAACTGAACGACGTCGATGTGTAGGTTATATTTGTTCTTAACTGCCGTGTTATAATCTGCATTATCTTCGTTCGGTGTCGGGTCATCGCTACGCTCCACTGCTTTACATTGCTTACATTTAATTGAAGTGTCTGTCGTTAACTTCCTAATCAACGTCACCTGTTGTTGTCTTCACTTTCAAAAGCATCTTACTACAGTCTCAATATACCTAACTATAAATTCTAACACCCGTTTTCACTGACCTAGAACAAGGCGTAGCTTAACTAGGAAACACCTTACCTTACTAAGCAGATTAGTTTAATTGCAAATAAACATTTCTTTTATTAATTGTCACATTTATGACCCGTCATATTACACATGCCATAAATTTACACATTGCTTAAGGTCGTTAGTTAGGTTCCTAGTAGTTGATGAAATGCATTTTCACTTTATGCGATGCCTAAACATTTAATCAATAGGCTTGGATGACTCCTAAGTTTAGTGAAAAGTGTTTATTGCATTTTGATATCTTAGCATTTAATTTTTTTGGTAAAACTTATTGCTAACCAGATTTAATCGTTAGGGTAAAAACCGTATCGTGTGTGAAAACCGTATCCAAGTCCTTGGATTAGAGACAGAGAGCGACAGAGGCCTAAAGCGATAATAATTTATATTATCTTATCTATTAATTAATTTTATTTTAAAAATGCTCTTTTATATTATGGCCTTCCCTATGAACACTACCTAGACGATGTCTAGTAAGAATTCCACGTGTGCTACATGTGAGCAAATACAAAATATAACTGTAAACTTTTTATTACGAGCTGTTTCTCTCGTGACATGGTTTCAATGTTTTTTGTACCTATTGATATTTATGTTCACCGCTATATCCACATGACATCCGGGTTCGACGGCATCTGATACTGTCATTAGTTAGAAGTTCCTGATCAGCTTTTAACCCTAAAGCTAGCTAGAAGCCTGATACACATCTGCGAGGTGTACACAAAATGTACGCTCTATTATTCTAACGGCTGAAATTAATGCATCGTGATGATGACCAACTCAGAGATTACCGATAGTGTCAGTATCACTTAAATAAATCTAGCCATTTTTAACTTTAGCAGTTAACTTTTGGAAAGATTATCCACCAGCAAAACATGAACACGCGAATTCGAATACGAAAAAGTAATAATTCAAAATATTAGCGGGCAGCATTGACCATAAGAGTAAACCTACCTATAGTAATGTGCACGGACGTTACAGTACGCTGGCGAGGTGTATGTTTAGCCGTTAATATTTTATCAAAATTGAATTAAAAATTATATTTATCGAAAGTTTAAATATTTTTAAAAATATTTCTTTCGGCTGTTTGGGTGGATTGCCTGAACATTGATGAAAATATAATGAAAATAAAATAGTCCTAAATTACATTCCTTTAATAATTCATAACGATGAGTATACTTAGGCAAAATATAAGTAGTATATAGTTCTGCCTACAGAAGGTAATTTTCTATATACACCTCTGAAA